AGCAGCTAACGTTTTCTGCAGTTTGTGTTGCCCCTGAAAAACGTGATGTAATTATTTAAGGGTAACATAACTTAACGTTATCATAAGTTGAGAGAGTTATGTTTTTGTTTAAAATCAACAATGTAGTGCACGTTACAGGTTTTGTGTTGAACATGAAGTTAGCTAACTGTAGCTAACTCTACCAAAGGTTTGCATGTGCTGTACTTTCTGTGGCAGCTCGCTTAATAAATTTAAATTGTGCTTCATTGTAAACGGTATAAGAGTATAGTCTCATCCTTATACTGGTCTTAGACAGTTGGCCTTTTTGTTGCTTGAAAAAAACGTAACTTGAGGTGGGACACTAAGCATCTGTTCATCATTACTTATAGCTAACTATTAGCTAACTGTGTCAACTGTACTTATAGCTAACTATTAGCTAACTGTGTCAACTGTACTTATAGCTAACTATTAGCTAACTGTGTCAACTTTACTTATAGCTAACTATTAGCTAACTGTTTCAACTGTACTTGTAACTAACTGTTAGCTAACTAGTTCAACCTTGCTTATAGCTAACTATTAGCTAACTAGTTCAACCTTACTTATAGCTAACTGTTAGCTAACTGTTTCAAGTGTACTTATAGCTACCAGAGTTGGGTGTAACGCGTTACTGTAATAATATTACTTTTGTCGGTAACGGAGTAGTGTAACGCATTACTTTTATAATTCAGTAATCACACTACAGTTACTAACATTGCCCCGACACGCGTTACTTCGTTACTTTTTAATCAGTCATAATCACACTGACAGACAAGAGGGGTTTCCGCCGCAGGTTTATATGTACGTAATCTGCGCGACATGCGCGTCCACATCTCCATGTGCAGTGCTGCATAAACATGGCAGAGTCAGCGATAACTTTCGAGGGGTGGAGGTATGCCCATTATTTTGAGTTTGTCCGAAGAATAGACAGGAATGTGACGGTGAGGTGCAAACTGTGTCCAGGCCAGAAGCTGTTATACACTGCTGCAAACACCACGTCAAACCTCAACAAACACCTGCAAAGAACACATGCTAAGGTGAAGCTAATAGCTAAGGACCGGACCCCCGAACCCAGAGTGAGGATGTTATGAGTGCGCCGCCGCCGACTCCGAAGCGGCACAAATTAGAATTTGGAGGACCGGTAACCAAAGCAGAGATGGACAGGCTTGTAGCATCCTTCATAGTAGAGGTAATGTTGCCCATTTGCACAGTGGAATCACCATCGCATCGTTCAGAGATATACTGCGCAAAATACAGATAGCAGGAGACAGAGGACAGCCATAGTCAGAGCTATCTGGATCAGTCTTATGCGACAATGGAAACTGAACTAAAGAGAACATTTGAAACTTTAGCAGTCTGCGTGATCTGCCTGTAGGGAGGGGCGGGCCGGCCCTGCGAGTAAAGTAACGAGTAAAGTAACGAGTTACTTTATGTAGAGAGTAACGAAGTAGTGTAATATATTACTTTTTTTAAAGTAATATGTAATATGTAATATATTACTTTTTTTTAGTAACGACCCCATCTCTGCTAACTACTAGCTAACTGTTTCAACTGTACCTATAGCCAGCTATTAGAAAACAGTTTCAACCATACTTAATCACTATTAGCTAACTGTGTCAACTGTACTTATAGCTAACTATTAGCTAACTGTTTCAACTGTACTTATAGCCAACTATTGGAAAACAGTTTCAACCATACTTAATCACTATTAGCTAACTTTGTCAACTCTACGTATAGCTACCTATTAGCTAACTGTTTCAACTGTACTTATAGCTAACTATTAGCTAACTGTTTCAAACGTACTCATAGCTTTGTATTAGCTAACTGTGTCAACCATACTTACTATTAGCTAACTATTAGCTAACTGTTTCAAACATACACATAGCTATGTATTAGCTAACTGTGTCAACCATACTTATAGCTACCTATCAGCTAACTGTTTGAACTATACTTATAGCTACCTATTAGCTAACTGTTTCAACTGTACTTATAGCTAACTATTAGCTAACTGTTTCAAACGTACACATAGCTATGTATTAGCTAACTCTGTCAACCATACTTATACCTACCTATAAGCTAACTGTTTGAACTATACTTATAGCTACCTATTAGCTAACTGTGTCAACTGTACTTATAGCTAACTATTAGCTAACTAGTTCAACCTTACTTATAGCTAACTATTAGCTAACTAGTTCAACCTTACTTATAGCTAAATGTTAGATAACTGTTTCAAGTGTATTTATATCTCACTATTAGCTAACTGTTTCAACCTTACTTATAGCTAACTATTAGCTAACTGTTTCAACTGTACCTATAGCCAGCTATTAGAAAACAGTTTCAACCATACTTAATCACTATTAGCTAACTGTGACAACTATACATATAGCTACCTATTAGCTAAATGTTTTAACTGTACTTATAGCTAACTATTAGCTGACTGTTTCAACTGTACTTATAGCTGACTTTTAGCTAACTGTGTCAACTGTACTTATAGCTAACTTTTAGCTAACTGTTTCAAACGTACTCATAGCTATGTCAGGGTTGCCAACTTTGGGTACCTGGCTGGAGTGAGATTTTGATATCATGGGTTTAATTCGGTTTAATTACACATATGCGCACGAAATGACTGCTATCGTGTCAGCAGCGGGACCTTAGCATATATATAGGATATATATACAATATATACAAATACACAATAATGGACACAGACTATAAAGGGCACACAGTTTCATTCACTAATGAAAGTCAAACATGTTTGTTTCCACTGTTTTATTGTGTGCCTGTCGCGATAAGCAATTAATTTACTTATCGTACGATAAATAAAAATGAACTCGATAACTTTTCTGACCTCGATAAATTGCCATTTACATGAGGATGTGACTAGCAGTTTGAAAGGATGTACTTGAATTATTATTATATATTATCATTATGTCAGTGGTCTAAAATGGTCATACAACGGTGCCGACAATATTATCGTTTATCGCAATAATTTCCGGGAAAATGTATCCAACTAAATTAATTATCGTGACAGGCCTATACATGAAACACACACACACACAAACAAATCTACAGACCTACTCCAAACTGCCAAATATATTAATTAACACACTCTCACTCTCATATACTCTTTGACTCTATTTTGGCCTAGTAGAACAATAAGCAGCAGACTTTTACTTTTTTATCATTTCTACTGGATCTTAGATCTGCGCATGCGCAATACGGGTCGGCAGTTGCGGCTCCAGAGTATTTTTGTTGCGTAATCTATGGTAGGGCTAACCCATACAGTGGTGGGGCTCAAGTCAGTATTCGCAATGTAATTACATACACGCTCCCCCCGACAGTGAAACGCCACGCGTGAGGTTTAGATTATTTCCCTGTCTCTCTCAATCCAAATTGAACTGTATGAAATAAAAAGGCACATTTGTCTTGTAGTAAATAAAAAGGGCGACCTGGAGCCAATCCTGCAATTTCCCCACAAGTGAAAGAGTTGACATGCTGAAAACCCAACCCCTGCAGGGGGGTCTGGGGGATTGTCCCCCAGGAGATTTTGTTAAATACTAACATAAAATACACATTCTGGTACTCTCTTGAGAAGAAAAATAAATAAATCTATTACTACACATTTAAAAAAATGAATGCTATTTTAGTTTTTTGTTACTTTGTTCTGAAAGCTGAACCTGCTGCTCCTCACAGAGAGAAGAGGGAAGAGGCTGTGTGAATTACTTTACATTGTGGATAAGGGTGGATAGCCCTCATTGTTCTGTGTGTCAAAATGAAAGACAGCCCACACACCTATCAATCATCAAACCGTGGGGTCTTATTTCATTACGTGTTGATTTCTATCAACACGTAATGTTGTATCGATGTATAGAGATGTACTACAGCAAAAGTATTCTCCGTCGGGACTTCCTGCAACAACACCACGCCGTGATTCTGATTGGCGAGAAGACATTATCAAAGATGTTCTATTGAGAAGACGATCACTACGTGACAAAAGTTTTCAAAACCGTTTCTAGTCTTCGGTATTCTTGTTTTTGGCGTGAGAATAGTTTGGGCAGCGTGAGAGCGTGAGATTGAGAGTGAAAGCGTGTGTCACGCCAGATGCGTGAGAGTTGGCAACCCTGAGCTATGTATTAGCTAACTGTGTCAACCATACTTATAGCTAACTATTAGCTAACTGTGCCAACTGTACTTATAACTAACTATTAGAAAACAGTTGCAACCATACTTAATCACTATTAGCTAACTGCTCCACCTGTACTTATAGCTAACTATTAGCTTACTGTTTCAACTGTACTTATAGCTCACTATTAGCTAACTGTTTCAACCATACTTATAGCTAACTATTAGCTAACTGTGCCAACTGTACTTATAGCTAACTATTAGAAAACAGTTGCAACCATACTTAATCACTATTAGCTAACTGCTCCACCTGTACTTATAGCTAACTATTAGCTTACTGTGTCAACTGTACTTATAGCTGACTATTAGCTAACTGTGTAAACTGTACTTATAGCTAACTGTTAGCTAATTGTTTCAAACATACTCATAGCTATGTATTTGCTAACTGTGTCAACCATAGTTACTATTAGCTAACTATTAGCTAACTGTTTCAAACGTACACATAGCTATGTATTAGCTAACTGTGTCAACCATACTTATAGCTACCTATTATATAACTCTTTGAACTGTACTTATAGCTAACTATTAGCTAACTAGTTCAACCTTACTTATAGCTAAATGTTAGCTAACTGTTTCAAGTGTACTTATAGCTCACTATTAGCTAACTGTTTCAACCTTACTTATAGCTAACTACTAGCTAACTGTTTCAACTGTACCTATAGCCAACTATTAGAAAACAGTTTCAACCGTACTTGTTGCTATCTATTGGCTTACTAGTTCAAGTCCTTCTCAGTAATAGCAAAACTTTTGGAAAACATCAAAACATTTTTTATCACAATTGTTTTTTATTGGAATGCACACAGTCTTGCTCTCACATTTATTTTCTGATTGCATTATAAAGACACATCAGTAACCCCATAACTGTTTACAGCTGCAAACAAATACTTCTTGAGCTGGGAAGTCGTTCTTCCAAACTCAGGGGGCATTTATGAGACTGAGTTGTAATGCGGAAACAACATGGACGCTACAAAGAAGATGCTTAAACAACACGTTGATTTATGATAGAAAGTGTCTTTATTTTGCATATTTAAAG